CACCGGCAGTTAGTACTTCCTGTCCACGAGAGAAAGAGAAAAAAATGCTTCATTTTGAAGATAATCTCCAAAATTTTCAGCAAAAAAATGGCTCTATCTACGGAGAGCAAAGGATAAGCTAACGTAAAAGGTCATAGAATACCCTAAGTTAAATGTTGACACAGTATCCACATCTGTTATGGAGACAGGTTGGCGTTCAACTTCTCAATTTCCGTTTCTTCACACGTGATGTAGCGTGCTAGGAACGAGAGTGCCGATGTGCCGATGTATGGCAAGACATATGACGGAAGTTTCGGCGCGTAGTACGGTAAGACTTCGCAACCATTAGTTTAGAGTGGAGAGGATAAGCAACCTCACTAAGGATACGATCACCAAATTGCCTGACCGTTTCAAAGTATCGCTCTATTATAATGTCAGCTAAAAAATATAGGAAACACCGGCAGCTGAAGGGAGCATTCGGAAGACACGTTTAAAAATGACCAGGTCTTTTTTAAAGTAAAGCTTGCAAAATAACTGGAGAGCTGTAAAGAATGAGGGGGGAGGGGAATGCAGGCATCTATAAATCGCCAGATGAGGGCTTGCGATGTGCGATATGAACGCAAGCGGCGGATATAATATAAAAGTTTGCGGATCTTAATAAAAGGCCTTCAATATGAAGAGTAAATGAGAGGTTAGATGCCAGGTAACACTAAGGTACCGGAAAGAGGGTACCTCGTTGGGCAGAATGTCAATAAATTCAGGACTGGGAGAGGGTAGCAATCGAAAAACACGTTAGACTGACGTCTGGTCGTTAAGTAGAAGGCCATTTGCTGACGACCATGCTGAAACGTAGTGTAGGCCATCTTTTAGTACTTGGAGATGTAGCTGACTTTTGAGAGGATTGCCAGTAGTCATATCATCTGCATATTTAACGTGCAAACATTCGGCGTGGAGGGAGAAGAGGTGAGGGGATAATATAGACCCTTAGCAAAAGAATCATCAATAACAAAGGACATCTTATCGTCTTCGCTTTAAGCGCACATTTGGAACTATCCAAAGTGTGGTTGAGCACTTCCGCATCCGCTGATGTCTTACACTCCCATTCCCTGCAATCCGAGCCAGGTGTGGCGGCACACTTAGGGGCGGCT